ATTATTATTATTATTATTATTATTATTAATTTAAATATTTTATTCATTAAATTAAAAAAATCATTAATTATTAATTTCAAACTATTATATTAAACAACTACCTAGCTAAACATGATACGGAGATCACAACAAATTGCATATTCATATTTACTTTAATTATTCATAACATATTTGTGAAATTATAATTAATATTTAAAATTATTTACACTTATACATCATTACACGAACATTCTACATGCTAGATGTCACGTCCCATAAGTCAAATTCGGGGACGCGACAGATGCCGTGGACTCGTAAGAGAATCCCACAAATACACAAGGCTCAGAACTTTATCATATCACAATCTGATATCACAAAATCTGAAGATAAAACTATAATATTTGCTCTGATATAAAAAATCTCCAAATAAAGTCTAACTTACAAGATCATGATTTATATCTAAAATCTATGCTTAATTTACAAGATAGCTAGCCTTCTAACTCGTCACTCCCCTCGTTTTTCCCCGTTCTTGACTTCGCTTCTTGAAATGGTGGACAAGAAAAAACTATGAGATAACTCAGTAAGTAAATATGGATAGCCCTTAATTAAACTTATAGCATGCCAACAAGTATAATCACGAAAAACGGATATAATACGGGAATGAAATAGACGTCTCCTCTATAGGTCATGGCCAGCGTTTATAAACCTCCCACTGGTGGGCATACGATTTACTAGTGTATAATCCCACTAGCAGGATAACAGAAACGAACCGGTTCTATCAGTAACATGTCAAGATGTGCTAACGTTTATAAACCTCAACATGTGCTAGCGTTTATAAACCTCCCACTAGCAAGCACACGAATAACATGACTATATCGAAGACAAAACAGGCAAAATTTAATAGAAAATCATACTTTACAAATAATTTCCAGATCATCAGGGCAGTTAAATAAACTCCAAGCAGGCATACTCAAATCGATAAAAAGAATGATAATCTTATTTCAAATCAATCATACTCATTTTTGTATAAAACGGGTTTAATCCCACTACCACTTCAAAAACAAATTAAAATATACTTTTAAAATCGAAGGGCGTTACCATAATTTACTTACCTCACTCGCATAAACCGAGGACTCAATCTCAGTACTAAACTGACAGAACAATCAGAAACCTAATCAAAATATTCAAGAATTAATTATCGTACCACGGATTCAAAAGTAAAATCACCATGACTACCTCCTACTCATGATACTATTTCTATCAATCTTCACATGACCAAACATCTCCAAATTTGTTCTTATATTACAAACTAATCATTTAATCCCCGTTAATTGTTGGCCATCAGTGCGTGAACAGTGCCCATGAACAGTAATCACGCAATGAACAGTAACTGCAACTTCAAAAAAATTGGCAAAACCATAGCTAATCTCACGGGATTTTCCTCCAAAATCTCACGGTAATCAATTAACACTCAATCACACAAATCCCACTTGAATTAATGCTTAAATTTTGTCCTAAAGCTACCGGAATTATCCCCTAATTACTGCAAAATTTCGGACAGCACAAGGCAGCAAATAAATGGACAAAATTCAGCAACCAATTGATGAAATTTCTGGCTTGGAGGAGCTGTCAACATACCAGAATTTCAGCCAGCAGAAACCGAAGCTGCAAGCTAGGGGAAGCCGGCGGGAATCTGTAGGGGAAACTCACGGGTCTACCTCAAAATTGAAGGAACAAGAGGAACTTAGAGTAACCCAAGTAAAATTCAAGGAAGAACAGAGGAAATAGTGGCTGTTTCTTACCAGAAACCAGACCAATTCGCCCCAACAAAGCAGGAGCAGCAGATGGAAGAAACAAAGCAGAGTAGAACCGGGATTTTTCTGCAGGGGGGAAGAATTCTGGGTTCAATTTCAGTCCTAGAACAATAAAAGAAAGGGGAAAACTTCAAGCTCTTATCGGTTTCTCAAGAGGAAGAGGCGTCGGTGGCTGGGTTTCTTTTTGGAGTTGCAGCGGGTGAGAAGAAGGAGAAGAAGAGTAGAAACGCGCAAGGTTGGGAAGAAGAAAAAAACCCTCCGATCCTTATCCTAATATCTTTCCTCTTTAAGTCCCTCAAGTTTGGAAATTTTAGCTAATAAGCCCCAAAATAATATTTTCTCGCACAAAAGTCCTCAACTTAAATGATAAAATTCCCGAAAATTTGGGATATTACACTAGACAAAATCGTTATTTACGTCAAGCAATGCGTGGCGTGGTGCTTTATTCCGTCCAAAATTTAATTTTAAAAGTTCCCTATCATTATTCATTAAAAAAATATTTTTTAATGCAAAATATATATTTTTTATTTAAATATTAAAATTATTAAAATGTTATCAAAAATAAGTATAAAAAATAATTTTTTAAAAATATTTTAATAAATTAAATACCTACATTAAAAAAAAAATCCATGCGCACTTGGATCCAGTGACGTCAAGTCATATATAAGTGCATTCTCTCTCTCTAAGACAACGACAACAGTTCAAATCTGACCTTTTGCAAACTTGTTCAAAAAAAAAAAATAAATCCCTGCAATCACCGCTTAAAAACCACGTTTCTATTATTCATTTCTTTTTCTTTGGGGTTAAAACCCCATTTGGATCCTTGAATTATTGTATGACCTCCAATTTTCTCTTTGAGCTAAAAAAATCTTTGATTTGGTCCCTATTGTTTACCATTTTACCCCAACTTGATCCTTCCGTTAAAAATCATCTGTTAACTCACAGTTAAGACACGTCAGTTATATAAGTGGATAAATGATGACATGGCAACATAACAGGTCATATTCATAGCCAACACAAAAACAAAAAGGGGGCCCACCAAATTGCAATTTTGCCATCATCTTCTTCTTCCAGCATCCTCTTTCTAGAATCCTCCTTCATTCAGACAATCAATTTAATCAAACAATTCAAAGGAACCTAGTGTCTGGGTTGAATCAAACCCAACAGTTGCCCTTTCTTTTTCCTTTCCTCTTCCTTGCCTTGCCTTCTTCATCAATCAATTCTTCATTTTCATCAAACAATCAAACCCACAAATATATATATATATATAGAAATTTTTTGGCTCTTGGGTTCGAACGAACCTAGCTCTTGGGTTCTCGAAGGAACCCAGTGCCTAGGTTCCAACGAACCCAACGCCTGGATTCTCGAAGGAACCCAACGCCTAGATTCTTGAAGGAACCCAAGGCTTAGGTTCCAACGAACCGAGCGCTTGGGTTCTTGAAAGAACCCAGGCACCTGGGTTCAAGAAGAAACCCAACTCTTGGGTTCCAATGAAACCTAGCGTCTAGGTTCAAACAAACCCAACGGCTGGGTTCTCGAAGGAACCCAACGCTTGGGTTCTCAAACGAACCCAGCTTTTGGGTTCCATCGAACCTAGGCGTTGGGTTCGATGGAACCCAACAGTCATTGTTGGTACAATTTGCCCTCTACTCTTCTAGGGTTCAAATGGGAAGAAGGGGGAGAAGATAGTGAGTTTGGGGGCAGGAGGTGGGCCCATATTTTTTTTTTTGTTGGTTGAGAATCTGACGTGTTTTATGACATGTCCATGTGTACAGTTGATGTGTCATGATATTTGGACATGTCATCATACTCGGTTAATTAACGAGACATGTCACTATAATTTCAACGGAAGGACCAAGTTGGGGTAAAATTGGTAAATGTAGGGACCAAATTAAGGATTTTTTTAGTTTAAGAACTAAATCGGAGGTCTATATAATAGTTCAGGTACCAAAATGGGGTTTTAACCTTTTCTTTATAAATATTTCCTTTCGTTCTTTTACCTTTTCCCATTTTAATCCAAAGAGGCTGTAAAACGCAAGCGAGCAACTTGCAATTGAAAAATCCAGATCAGAGTTTAATCCTGAGGAAGAATAATGACCTTGTTTTAAATGTAAGGGATAATCAAAGATGCACACTTCACCTGCTCCCTGCTGCTATTACTCCGTTCCTAACAGCTTCCTTCACCGTCCTCCGCTCAACACCAAGCTTTCTTTTCTTACCAATCAAATCTACACCAAAAATTTTTCTTCTTTAGCTCTCCTCACAACCAACTATTGTAGCAAAACCCCAGAACGAAGAAGCCCCAACAGCCAAAGCACCTCATACCCAGGTCGTCGAAGAGCCACACTGTTTCACCAATTCCACTCTTTCACCGGTAAAAACACCAATTACCAACACCCAGAACCCCAAAACGAAGAGCAAAGCGGTCCCAGAGAGAGAGAATTCTTCAAATTTGTCTGGGTAATTTTCATAAACATGTGGTGGCTGGACTTGAGAGCAGCATTGGGTCAAAGAATCAATGTTGAAGGCGTTGTTTCTTCCGTGTCAGTGATGGTAAGGGACCAACATTTGGCACTGCCACATGTTAAGGTCCCTGATATGCGGTATATTGACTGGAACGAACTACGTAGAAGGGGTTTCAAGGGTGTTGTGTTTGATAAGGATAATACAATCACCGCTCCTTACTCTTTAACATTGTATCCTCATCTTGCATCCTCACTTGAGCAGTGTAAAGCTGTCTTTGGTCATGATGTTGCTGTGTTTAGTAACTCTGCTGGTAATTTGGCATAATCAATTCCAGATTTCTCTCTCTTTTTTTTTTTTCTCTTTCCCTCTGTTTTGTGATTCACCATTGCACAATATGTTGGTCTTATATTTCTGGTTTGTTGAACCAAGGTCTTCTTGAGTACGATCGTGATGGTTCAAAAGCAAAAGCACTGGAGAGGACCATTGGGATTAAAGTTGTAAGGCATGGTAAATCTTTTCAAATTAGATTCCATTTGGTCTGGTAATGATTTTTGGTCATGGTTTTGAAAAATTTTAGAACTTCTGAAAAACCAAAAATAGATGAGTTTTAATACTGATAATTAAAAGTATAAAGTTTTAGTAGTTTTAAAACTATTTTTTTTTGTTATTTCTCCAATAATCGTAGTAATAAATTGAGAATTAGACCTGAACTAAACGAGTTTTTCTGTTCAAAGTTTCAAATTTTATAAAATTTAAAACTAAAAACTAGAAACCATACTAAACGGAGCCTTAGCATTTAGCTTTGTTCTACCAAAATTGTTTCTTTTATGGATTGAAAAGGATTTTACTAACTTTATGCTACAGTTCCTTCAAAACATGTAGCATGTTACTAAACTTTCAATACCAAATTTTCTTTTTGGACCTTACATATATTAGTTTGAGACACCGCTAATTCATGCCAGTGGACAGACGTAGGTGGTTATCTAAGATCGATTTGATCATTTAACTATCTATTCAATATGTTCCAGGAGTGAAGAAACCAGCTGGAACAGCTGAGGAAATTGAGGAACACTTTGGCTGTAAATCATCACAACTTATCATGGTGAGCAGGCATAGATCTAATAGACAGATTATTAAGGTTTCTCTTTTGAGCTGATAAAAAATGGTTTTCTCTTTGGATTATGCTAATGGCATTATTGTCTTTGTGGCAGGTGGGTGATCGACCCTTCACTGATATTGTTTATGGGAACCGAAATGGGTTTTTCACCATATTAACTGAGCCATTGTGTCTTGCTGGCGAGCCGTTCATTGTTAGGCAGGTTGGTTTTCCTTTTGTTTTGTTTTGTGTAGCATGCAGCACAACTTTTCTAAAACTGTTGAAGAAAGTAAATAAAGTAGAATTAAGCAATGTATCATAACTTGTTGAGAATGTGCCTTGAAAATTGATACTTGAAGCCCTTGGAAGAGAGAACAAGATAAGGTTCCATGAGAAGGAAGTAATCACGAAGGTTCTGGAACTTGGTGGAGGGTTTTGAAACCTAGGAGAAGAGAAAGGGTCAGAGGGCTTCAAGGTTCTGGAAACTCCCTCATAGGTTCCAAAACCTGATGGAGGTGTCAACTTTTTATTGGTGTCTAGGACCTTATTCTTGCTGCCAAACACCTCCAAACTCAAGAACCCTATAAATATGTGTTTATTTGTGAACCCTAAGAGTGAGAGATGCAAAAGAGAGGCTTGGTGTGTGAGATACTAACTATTAGTCTTCATTGAAGTGAGAAACACTTAATGACTGAGAGGTGAAAACACTATTGTGATAGCGTTCATCACCATGGGTGGTTGGGTCTGTGAGGTCACTTGGGCATCCGCTGGTGAGGGTGATGAGGAACAAAAAATGTCAGTTGTAGAATTATTTAACAATTTTATTATTAGTGTTGTTTAAGGGTCATTCTTGGAGTCTTTTGTTATTGATGAGTATTTTATCTTTTTTCTTCTAAGTCTCAGTTGAATTAGAAATTTCTAAATTCTAGTTGAATCAGGAATTTATGGTTTCAAGTTATTATAGTTAGGAATTTTAGTAGGAGTCATACTAGTTTATATATAAATATGCTTGTAGCTTCTTTCATTAAAGAGGTAATCAAATATTTAGAAATTTGTAGCAAGATTTTTCTCTTGAGATTGTGTGATACAATCTTGGTTGTGTAAGGCAACTAACCTTAGGTAGGTGTAACTCAGATTTTTCTATTTTTCTCATTATTTTATTGTTTGTCTCCCTCTTTTCTATACCTTAAACAGCTACTTAAACTGTATATCACTGTTTATGTGCATTGTTCACAGCCTAAATTTACCATAGAACAGCCTCGAAATCCCCAAGCTCACCATACCTCCTAACCTGTTCCACATTAGCGGGATTGTCTCCCAAATTGATGTCCTTTTGCTTGATATAGTGGATTCTCACATTCTCCATGGTTTTTCCTTGCCTTGGGTTTTTGACATAAATTTGGACACCAATTACATTGGGCATTCGATATTGATCCTTTGCTTCTGTTATGCTTGGGATTCATTGTCTGTGTTAGAATCCCTAACAATAACATATGCTTGACCAAGAAACTTGCTGCATCAGAAAAATTTTAAATGAAAACATCCATGATGCCAAACTCTAGTGTCATTTCCCCCATTTATTTACTATTTAATAACAGTTACGTGACATTAATTATTTCAATATTGATTTAATGACTAGAAATGAGGTTTTTGCCTTTTTCATTTATTTTCATCCTTTAGGACTTTTCTGTTGTTTGTCCACTAAACTCTTAGGATTTTAAGTTATTTTAGACTGTCACAGTTACTAGAAGGTGATTGTAATGGAGAGAGAAAGGATAGTGTAGAAGCACTGGGGAAGAATCAGAAAGTGCCAAGTTTGGAGTCTGAGGTACTTAGGAGTGGTTTGGTGGGGAAGGTGGGGAATGATTGGGAAGTAGCCAATTAGTAAAATATCAACGTGGTGGGTACTAGAGAAAATCATAGGTGAAAGGTTTGATGTCTCTATGAGCAAATATTTACATAGTATGGGTTATTTATGGGTGAAGAAGGTCAACTTCATCTAATCAAAAGATGACTCAAATGCAACAAATTTTTTAAATAATAGGAAAAAAAAAGTTACCGAGTGCCTTTGAGAAAACTTGCTTGATACTTGAACCTACTAAGAAAGGTCAAAGTGGCCTTTAGCGTGCTATGAAATCCCTTTCAGACAACCTATATACCTATGATAATTGAATAAATGAAGATCCTTCTATTAACCATGTGCTTATTCAAATCTCTAATATTAAATGGCCAGAATGTTGCGCTTGCAAAGCTCCATATCTCCTTCAGCTAATCACTGCTGATTAATAGATAAAATTTCTCAAAGTAGTGTCTAGACGCTGACACATTCCTCATAAAGGAAAATAAATTATTGGAAATCAACCCATTGGCCATGTGCCCATTTTTATTTTAGTGAAAGTTGCTAGGAAATGAGCTACTAGTGATTGTTAGGGCTCATTTGTTTTAGGGAAGTAAAGTTTCCTGGAAAATGAAGAAAGCTGCCTATGTTTGATTGTATTGTGGCTTCTGAATAAACTGATCTCAATGTTCATAATTTTTTTTTTTGTTTGGCCGAAAATGTTTACTTCATAATTGGAAGCATAAGCATTTGTAATCCTGAAATTCCTTTAAGCACTTACCCATGTTGGAATCCCAAACTACATGTTTCATCCTTACTTGCTCGATCTGTTGCACAAGGTCTGGGCAATCAAAGAGGAGGGAAGTGAGCTGGTCTGAAGGGTTAATAGGTTTAATGCTGGGCTGCTGAACTGCAATTAAAGAGTCAGTCTCAATTAAAAGATCAGTATCCTCCTCTCTATAGCCAGTTTTACCAATCTTCCTAGAGTAACCACCAATCCAGTTTCCTGAAGGGTCCCTGAAAACCTCTTCAGCAACTGCATGACAAGGATTTCCAATGGCAGAGCCATTGGTGTTGAGTTTAATACTAGGGCTGGGCAGTTCAGACTATCAATGCCTTCATGTGCCTGTGGCACGAGAAGGATGATCCTTTTGAGTGGACTAAAACTAGCTGCCTTTTCCCAAATCATAGAATGAGGACAATGCGCTTGGCCCTTGTTTAGTTGATACAATTTTTGGTACTCTGCAACTAAATGAACCAGATGGTAGGGCTGATCAGATCTCCCTAGAGGATAGGAAGAATGGTTCCATTAGCCTTCCTACAGCAGTTTAGCTTGAGCCATTCATCAAAACTCCATTCAAGCTGTTCTTGTGAAAGAATATAAGGACAAGTCTTTGAGAATATTCCTGAAGATAAGAACACTTCCTAAAAATTTGAAATGATCAACAGATTCAGAATCAGACTGAATATATACTGGTGCTCACCAAGGTCCAGGCAGTGTAAAATATTCTTGTCCTTGTGAGGTTTATATTATCTAACAAAATATATAATTAGGAAACTATAAATAATAACCTGAAACAAATATTTATTTTTTATTGGCTCCTGCTATTTAATTGCCCTATATTCAACTTTTATTATATTACCTCTACATAACAACCTTTATGTCAGTCTGTCAAAAAAGTTGTTCTGTTTTTCAGTGCCATCACTTATCGCCTCCTGTAATGGTGTAATTGATCTAATTCATTTTCACCTCTGAGTGGGTCGACTTATCGTCTGAAATGATTTCATCTTGTGAATGCTGTTTTTGCATGTACTGCATTTCAAATTTCTGTTTCATTTTATGATTTTAACCTAATACCAGCCTACTATTTTAACCCATTGGGGTTGGCTTAAGTGGTAAGGAATTGTATGCGCCACCCTGGAAATGCAGGTCAAATTCCTTTACTGCATGCCTTTTTGGTGCTAACAGTTTCAATAGGGCATGCCTGGTGCCCTTGTATGGAAATTGTCCTCTGCCTATAGACAAGACGGTTTGTAGGTACTCATAAGACTAGTTGGAGAAAAGGTCATGATATCTATGTTATAAAAAAAAAAATTGAATAGTAGTCTGTGCATGTCATATGTAGATGGGAAAGAACCAGTTAAACGTTTGGCAAAATATGATGATAATTAGATATGATAATTATTCACAATGGCAATGGCAATTTATAACAATAATGATGATTGGGTCTGTCACAATTAGTATGAAAATCAGCTAAATAATATAACCAAATTGTCATCATCTTCCCTGACCCGGCATTTTTCCAAGGAAACTGATGAAAGTTGCCAGTAACGAGATTATATGTTCTTTAAGAAGGGAAAGCTTACTGAAGCCTGTTTCTTCGTCTTATTCTAGTAATACCATATCAAAGTCTGCATTTTTCTACTGGTTTTTCATCAAGAGAAATAATTTGCAGGTGAGGAAATTGGAGCTAATCCTTGTAAATCGATGGCTTAGAAGAGGTTTAAAGCCAATTGATCATGCTCTGCTTTCAGATGCGCCAAGTTGCGTGAAAGATCTGCATCATCTGTAATGTATTTCATGGATAAATATAAAAGCCATTGTTCATGTAGCTGGCAAAAAAAAAAAAAAAAAAAAAAAAAAAGAGAAAAGAAAAGGAAAAACTTTGATTTATTATTATTTGTTTTTGTGTAAACACTTGAAACTTGTTTAGTTTTGTTCTTCATTTGGTCCACCACCACCGTGGAGCACAAAATGAGGAACTAAAAACTGACGAGGTAAAACCATTCTGGCACTCTAAACCTAAAATTCTTTTTGTTTACTCTTGAGAGCGAGCTGAATTATTTAGTTAGATGGCTCTGATATACGTGCTTTGAACTGGAGAGCATTCTTACTCATGGTGTATTAGCGCATGACAAGACGGTGAATACTCGAAGGATGGGGTTATTCGACATTTCAATTTATACAGCTGCTTTGTTTTCGGCAAAACTCTACTTTTAGTCCCTCATCTTGTTAGGTTTGAAGGTTTTAGGCTCTCATCTTATACTATGATATTTTTAACCCATCACTTATTAAAATTAAAAAGAATAACTCTTAATTTGTAACATTTTGTTAGTTTTGTTAGCTGATTGTTAATTTTATTAGCTAACTGTTAGCTGTCAAAAAGTTTCTTTCAACTAATAAAGTTACCAAAATTAATTTTATAATATTTTGTTAATTTTGTTAATTTACTATTAGTTAACTGTTAGTTGATAAAAATTTAATTTAAGTTAATAGAATTAACAATCAGTCTAAATTGAGGGTTATTTTCTTTAATTTAATAGGTAATGGGTTAAAACTTACAAATCTAGTAAGGTAAAAGGTCAAAAGTGTCATAGTATAAGGTTAGGGGTTAAAACATTCAAACTTGGTAAGGTGAAGGGTTAAAAGTGGATATTTACCCTTTGTTTCTTTAGAAAATTGCATTTTGCTCACCTGTGCTTTTGGCTGGGTGCACATGGACATGGCATTATATATATATGAATTTGAAAACTTTTATTCAGTGTAAAAGGTCTCTGTCATATCTTCGCATTGTAGTATCTGGTACCACCCCTAATCATCCTCTTCCACATAGGCTGCCCTTCTAGCCAACGCATGAGCTACCCTTTTACTCTCCCTGCCTAACTTGTTGCACTCTAGAGTCAAACTAAGATTAAATTCCTCTAGAATCATATAACATGAAGAAATGTTACAAATAAAAATGTTAATTTTTTTATTTAAAATGGTTAAGTTTGTCAGATTTTAAATAAAAATGTTTATTTTTAACTTTTTTACTTAATGATATCCACTTTTTTTATTTAATGTTATCAAATATCTTAAACCAATATATATATATATATATATATATATATATCAAACTCAATTTTAACAGAATATTGAGTGAGTCGTAAGTACCCTATATGATAAACAAAACTTAATCAAACTCAATTATTTATTAATGCGCTTAAGAACAGTGATGTTGAACCTTGAGCTGGTCCGATCCCAGTGTAGTCTGATTTCTTCCCGTTACTTCAACTCCCTTCTCTTCACGAGTCTTTTGGGTTTTAAAGAGTACAGCGAAAGCAAAAAATTAAATTTCCAATCTCCATTAACTTCATAGGGGCATCATTTCATCCGTAAAAATCCTGCAACTCTTTGGGGGATGTTGGGTCTAAACACAAGCAATTGGAGAGAAGGGAGGGTTAATAACATCAAATGGTGAGATTTCTTTCTCTTCTGGTGGCTTTTTTCTTTTCACGTCACTGATTCAATCAAGAATTTGACTTCCTCCCCCAGGTAGCACATACACAACTTTATGCTTTCTTTGTTTCTTAGAGAGTGCCATGCAATATGGCAACACAGATAAAAAGTGCTTGTAAGGTGGATAATCGTGCATGAAATCATCTACATACTCTCCCTCTCCAATAGCTGTCATGATCAATTCTGGTGCATTGTATTTGGTTCCCTATAAAAGAAATATCTAAATAAAAAAATATGAGGATTTGTTTGGTTGGTGATAGTGGTTATTTTTTACTTAAATTATAAAAAAAATATTAAAACTGATAAACTTAAACTCCATTTAGTTTGATTGTGATTTTGAGTTTTAATTTTGGTTTTTTAAAATTTAGAAACCTTATAATAAAATTAAATAGTTTTATAAATTAATTAAATGTGAAATTTAGAGTATTTGTTTTAAAATTTTATACTCAATAAGTCGACAATTTTAATTTTTATTTTTATTTTTTAATTGTTAATTTTAATTGTTTGAATTTTAAAAGTCACAATAAAAAACTCCAAATTACATTTATATTAAATAGAGTCTTAATATTTAATTTTCCTTATATATTATCAAAGAATCAAAAAAACCTATTTTTTAAAAAATAAAAGGAATACATATTCTCATATTCCTCATTCATTACTTATTTTAGTACAAGAAGTATCAACATTAAAGTTCATGTATCTTTGGTTTCTTACGAAAGTTCTCTAAATTTACTATTTGACCAAGAAATAACCACAAGTACCAATCAAACATGACCTCATCAAAACTGTTTAAGCCTTCAACAATTTCCATTTTTTCGTTATTTGGTTCTTTTTTCCCTCTTCTTCATTTCGAATATATAATATAAGTGCAAGTCTAAATTGTAAAATACTAACTATTAAATGGAGAAGCTCTCTCCCAAGCCCTTTTTTTTGATAAAAAAATAATGTTTAATACTTTATTATCCGAACTATAAAACACTTATTTTGATAATGTAATATTATATACTAGTAGCATAAAATGGAGCAGGCCGAGGCAAGCATATATAATAGGGGCACTTTTTGAGGGCAAAACCCTTGCCCTCCAACATTTTGAGTTTGGGACATTTTACCCCTCATCTTACAATATATGAGTTTTTACCCTTTAAGTTTTCGAGTTTAGGGAAATGAGGCAATATTTAATGCCTAAGGGTCACGTGCAGAACGTGCATCGTTGGCCTCCATCATATATGCACATGTCAACACCAACTCATACTTTCTTGACACGTTGACAAGTCCAACTTGGACCCTCATGCGTGGGAATTCTACCGCTAACAATTTTACCTTGTGAGCCCTGCTTGTTGGCTTATAATTTGAAAAAAAAAAAAAGTCAAATGAATGAAAACAAATTTAATTAAATGATCCCTAGGGAAAAAAAATTTTCAGTTTCCTTCTTTTATCCATCATGTTCCACCCGTTTCTTTCCTTCCTTGTTCAATGGCTACTTCCAACAACTCTAAGACTTCACCACCGATGGAATTTGGAAGATAGGACTATGATTATGAGGGGCTAAGTTGATATAGCTTTTGTGGTTTGAAGGCTCTAAGGATCATGTCTTGGAGCAAGAAGAATCCTAGTAAGGGCTTTTTTTGATGCCCAATCTATGATCCCATTATAATTTCTTCCCAAATTTGTTATGTTTAACTAGTGCATTGTTTAGGGGTTTTTTTGTTAAGATATTTCGAAGGTATTGTGGTACCATTTAGGGTTTTGCTTGGTATGGAGATTGGGTTTTGATTCATTGTTAATGAAATTTGGTTTTTGACATTTGCAAAACAAAAAGTGCCAATGTAAGTATCTTGTGTGGTATGATCGAAATTTCTCTTTTGCGGCTAAGGAGTTTTTTTTGTGGTTGTACAATAGTAAGACAAAATTGGAAACTAATTTAGATGATACAAGAGAAAGGATCAAAGCTCTTACAAATGTTTTGAAGTGTCATGAAGAATAAGGAGAGCAACAAATTAAGGCATTGGAGAAGAAAGTTAATGATTTGTAGATGGTGACACTAACAATGGTGTATGCTGTGAAGCTAAAGAAATGGAAGAAATGTGTGGCCAAATTTCTTTGGTGGTGGCTGTTTTCCTTGCTATTCTAATTGCTTTTTTCCTATTTAATAGTTGGGTTCTAGCTATTGATGGAAACAAGGGTTTCAAAAGGTTTGGAAATTAAAAAGTTAGGCAAATGGGGAGAGTTGTTGTTTTTGGGCATTATCTATTTTTTGGTGGGTAATGTGTTGCTAAACTTTTGGTTGTATTGAACGGTAGTATTAAAAGTTGGAAGATACTACCCCCCAATATTTCTAGTATGGGGCTTGATTTTTCCCCAAGCTCTATATTTTGTTCTGGATATAATGAATAGTAATTGCCCTTTCTAGAATTGTTGACTCATTTTTTTGAATATTGATCAAATGAAAATAGCAATTTCTTATGTTAATGTAAACTAGCATAACAGGTACATAAATAAGAAAGTATCACTTGTCATTAATTGATAATGTAAGCCAAAAAGTTACATTTACACAATTATTTGTTAGGATTGCACAAAAGCTAACAAGGGAAAAACACCTTCAACATTTACACCAAAGTTGTATCACATACGCAAAAAATCCAAAATCATAAAATCCTACATATTCTTGCCAAATAGACCCTAACAAAACAGAGACAATACCTTATGATTCACGTTGTTTCCATGCATTTGCATATTATCTAAAAAACCTCCTACAACCCTAAACTCATGCAAAAAAAAAAAAAAAAAAAAAAAAAAAAAAAAAAACAAGAAAAAAAAAACAAACAAACTCATTCCTTAGGCTTTTCTTGATCCTTGCTTCTTAGTTGATTTCTAAAGAAGATGTGCCTTATGAAATTGGCTAGAGTGGGTATGTCTCATAGTTGTCCCCCCTTGAACACCTTGCTACAAAATTTAATAGCAATTATTGTAAAATAACTAATCAACATAATTCACACCAACACTAAATGTTAAGCCTAAACTCATAAGGTTTAACTTTGATGAATTGATGTATTGACCAAATCTGTGCCTTTTCTTTCTTCCTAGTCTATCAGATTAACTAAATTGCTTAAAACAAAAATAGCAACAAGAATAGACACATATAATTAACAATTGAGTACTGTCAATTAGAAATCATAAATCCTAAGCAATTAACACACAAGAAACTTACATTTTCATCAACAAAAAATTTGGAAGTACATGTTGTCCTAATGTGACTAGACTATTTACAATATTCGCAAGTTAGAGGTTTTCTTGGTATTGGCCAATGAGTGCTGGCTTATGCTCCCTTTTGTGTATGAAAAAAAAAATGTCATTATAATATGATTTGTGGACAATAAAGTAGGTGTAAGTAATTAACTTACTTCACTTTTAGGTGGCATTTAAAGGCATCCTCTCTTATTGTGTTCAAGTTGTTTACAAAGTGAGCATGTGATGTTTACCTTCCTTATCATTCTTTCTATCTGTCCCACCTTCACCTTTTTAGTTTCATTATTGCTCTTCATTCTATTCACCTTAGGTCTACTAACTTAACTCTAAATGGTACTGGTTCACCATGATATTTTTTCAAAAATTTCTCATCATTATAAAGCATGATTGGTGTAGTGTATGCACATTTATACTTAACCCTTTTGTACCAAATTAATACAAATTCATCTGGGTTGAAGTTACCCAAACCTATTGCAAACAATGCATGAGAACATGGAATTCCTATTAAATCCCATGCTCTACAACGACACTTTTTTCCAATCAAGTCCACAATAAATTTATCATTCCATTGTCAAACAACATAATGAGTCCTGCCATACCATTCATATCTGCATTTTGTTGCTTCTTATGTGCTTCTAATTTCTTCCTAATTCTAGATACTATGTCTCCTCTCCATTTTCTGACTTCTTCTCTATTCTTGGCCATCCTAACCATTACCTTAACCTTTATTCATTCCAATGGTTGGACGATTGGTAGATAACTTGCATCCATTATCCAATTGTTGAAGGTCTCATTCATATTGTTATCTGCCACATCACACTTAAACAATGTGTCAAAGAAGGCCTTGCACCATAGCTTTGGCGGGATTAATTTGAAGGCATCATGACCTACCATAATTAAATTTCTAATCTCCTCCATGCTTTTGTTGAATTGGCCTTCATAGGTTGACTTTATAGCAATCCAAAATCTTTTCTTCAGTAGTTTCCCTCTAAAAGTTTTTTGCTAATTGGCATATAAATACCTCGTGCACAATCTATGCCTAGCCTTAGGGGAAGTTGTTTGTCTTGCACTAATTAACCCCTACCAAATTGTGTTTAATGAAAAAATAAAGTTAGTGATTCATAATAAAATAAATTGAATTATACAATAACTAGCATTGATAACTATAGTAACATAAACATAAAATTTTTCTAAATTAATTCATAATAAATTGTTGACCTAAAATAAATGTTAAGTCTTTTCTAGTGTAATTTGATAGATCATCAACTAGGCATCTAAAGAAAAATGTCTATGAGCTTGTACACTTTGAGTCAACAATAGCACAAGCTATTAGAAACATTTGATTGTTCCCATCCTTGCAACAAATGCCAAAAAGATTCCTTTGAACATCCCTTTGAGGAAATAAGTATCTACTCCAATCATTGGTCTGCAACTTAGTAGACAAACTTTCCTACATCCTTCTGGGCACATATAAATTCCTTTAAACTTAGGCTTTCCTTTTGGAGTTGGGGATGGCTCAGTATCAATTTGCACATTTGACTCTAGGGACATTCTCAATAACTCTTCTACATACCATCTCAACTAAGCAAATTCTTTTATGTGAGTCTCCTTTACCTCTTTCATTATCTTTTCTTTTGATTGTTTACACTTATGCCTTAATACATGAACCTCCAATTCTAAATGAGAAAGTCACCAACTCATTGATTCTAATTTGTGGATTTGCAACAATTTTGTTTCTATGGTGTTTTGCAAGGACCCTTGACTTAGCCAAGTTAGATTTCAAAGTACTAAAGCATGTGTGTTCCCTACAATATGTCTTGACCTTGAAAGTCTTGTCATTTTTATCATAATGGCAAAGTTTGCCAATTGCACTGTCGATAAGCAAAGTGAATTATTTGCCTGGTAAGGTCACTTCTAACAAGTTTCAACTTATAGCCTTTTTAAATTTGGTACTTAGCTATAACCTCCTTAAACTATGCTACATGCTTAAACTTCATCCCTATCTCAAACCAACATCAATCATGACAGGTTAAACCATATATCAGCACTTCTAGTAGTTCTTACATCTACTTCTTGATCAAGTTCACCTTTTTCTCCAACAATATAGTCACCTGAATCATCACTAAAAACCTCAGATTCCTCTCCACTATTTTCAAAGCTAGAATCAAAACTAAATCTCCATTGCTATAATTTCCTATAGGAACCCTTTCACCCTCTTCATTAACTCTAGTAGGGATCTTATGGACTGTGTTACTTGGTCTAGCACCATCTGCCATTTTTTTTTAATGGCCCTATGTTTTTTTTTTCTTTTAATTTCTAATAGCTTCAAGCACCTCCTCATCATCTGCATCACTATGTTGAATATCAAGCAAGTCCTCATCATCATGATCATTCTTCTTTGGATCTTATTCTTGGGCTACATCACCTCCATGCACTGCATTTATTTCATGGGCATCACCTTTAGCATTTTTTGGAGCTTCATTATTATTTGGGGCTGGTTGTGAATTTTGTCTCACACAGCCTTCCCCAATGTCCCCATCTAGATCATCTTGATTGTCTCTATGTGGATCCTTTACCCATTCACTTTTAGAAAAATACAGTGTACCTTCATTAACTACTTCATGTGGAACACTGCCACCCTTAAACATCTCTAAAATGTCTGGCTCATCACACACATGCTCAACATACACATCTATAATTCTACTTTCATTTAAGAGGTACTACGTGTGACCAAGCTCTTGCTTGTTGTTTATAACCTTTAATGCTTCACCAAATTTTCCAACATAAGGATATTCATAATAGATGTACTTAAAATGCATATATCCAAGGCTTTTTACCCTCACCTCTAAATACGACAAAGTTACCCAATGATATTCGATATCCTCCTGGTGTACTTCATCTCCAACATACCAAAGATCCTCATTAGCACTCATGCAAAAAGTGCCACTATGGTGAATTCTTAATGTCTCCATTGTTGTCCTAAGGGAAAAAATATATAAATTAATATAAATTAATACACATTTAAGCATTAAATCTATAAACTAAGTTTATTGATTACAAATTTTTAAATTTAAAAATAATTAATTCACAGTAATAGCATAAACCCTAATCTTAAAACTCTAACTATAATACCATAGTCTTGGTTGAAATTGAATTCAACATTAAGACAAAAACAAAAGGAAACAAAAAGTATAGCTTCTTAGTTTGATTATTTAGTAAATCACAAGAACCCTAAAAGTAACTTTAACCATCAAACACTGTTTAAACTTATTTTAATCCTAATTAAACCCTAAACCTTAATCAAATATCACTTCCAACACAAATCTATGATCCCCTTCCTAAATACCACTAAAAAGTAAATAAGATTTTGTTAGAATAAAGGAAAAATACCTATCAATGAGACCAAGAATAATATCAGAATCATTTGTGCTTTGTGGTCCCTTCTTAATGTTCTATCCCTTTAATCTAGATTCATTCGATTGGTGTGGGAGAGAAAGGTTGTTTCCTTTTGTGGGATGTGGGGTTATTTAAGAAGAGTTTCTTCATTCTCAATCAAAATGCTTAGAGTTGAATGGATTTGTTTGCATTCATCTATCTTCTTTTTTTCTTTTCTTTTTTTTTCCAAATTATTAATCAACGTGTGGGGGCCACAAGGTAAAATCATTAACAGTAGAATTCACTCATGAGGGATCCAAGTTGCACTTGCCAACAGGTCAACAAAATTTGGTTGGAATTGGCATATGCTTGTATGACGGAGGCCAACCGTGCAAGTGACCCTTTAGTGTTAAATAGTCTCATTTTCCTGAACTCGAAAACCTAGAGGGTAAATATTCATATATTGTAAGATGAGGGTAAAATACCTCAAACTCAAAATGTTAAAGGGCAAATTGTGAGTTTTTCCCACTTTTTGAGGTTTCTAAAGTATTACGTGCAACTGTAGATTCTCTCAATCTGTAAAGTTGTTAATAAAACTAACCAAAGCGGTCCAGCAGATAATTCTGAACTGTAGCTGCTCAAATCCCAACATTAACTTTTGGATCCCTTTGTCCGGTTATACTAGTACTAGGCTACTAGGCTACTAGGCTACAAGGGTAAGTGGGTAACGACTCTACTTCGGCCATGTACAACTTACCTACCACTAAAGTTTGAAATTTATACAGTTGTAACATTTATACAACCAAGTTAGGATAATGTTTTATCCCTCAGAAACATCCTACTCTGCCTTCTTCAAAGAGCCAGTTTTATCCTCATTCCTTGACCTTCCAAATGATTTCTGTGTCTCCAACACAGGCATGTATGCTTCAGTAGCCTTCTTAATCACATCTTTGACAGACTTCTCCGACTCCCGTGCCACGCTTTCAAATTTAGTGGTTGCTAATGGTACTGTCCCAACAGTTTTCGCAGCAGCAGCAGAACTAGGCCCCTCTATTGTCAGCCTTGATGCCTCATCTCTAGAAGCATACCAGGAATTCCCACATGCAATGCACTCCAGCTGAAACACAATAGTAAAAGAAAGAAAGATGAGCATAGCAGTGGCAGCAGTACTCAAATCACAAATAACTCAAAAGTGTATTCAGAATCATGCTTCTAGGCAACAGCTAGAAGAAATAGCTCGAAATTTACCAATTCCTGAAGACTGCAATTGAGGCTTCAAGGGAAATCAGAGCTATATGTCATGATATGAATGCATGAAAACTTCTGGTTTCCCTAACATAGAGTTGGGAGGAGCAAACACTTAATAAATGCATGGTGAATGTTAGTTGCTTTATTGAATTATTTGTATCTTGCATATCATAAGTTTCTAAACACAAACAACTCCCCAGAAAAATATTGATAAGGCAAATAAATCATGAACCACAAAACGTCTTTCTTTCGACGTCTCTGTGTAGGCCATGTATATGAATATATTCATGAGAAAAGTAGGTTCAATTTGACAGAGATAAGGGAAGGAGCAATTTCACTAGCTCTAGGATTAAGTCTTAATGCTAGAGTGGAAGTTCATGAAGAAAAAGTAAAGAAACCTGGTATCTGTCTCCATGTCCAGCTTGAATGATGTCCCTCAAGCCAACTTTAAACTCATTGCATCTTTTACACCGAGCATCAGTCATCTATTTTGCAACAAAAGACTATGTCAACTGCACAACAGAAAAGCTTTCGAGAATAATATGGTTAAACCAAAGAAAGGTGAAAAAAACAAGTAACCTGCATGCGCTCCGAGTCATCAGGCTCTTTTCTTGCTGTCTCTTCTGCTGTTAAACCCTCCTAGAGTTCAAAGAAATAAGTTGCAATCTTTCCCAACTTGTCATCAGTTTAAACATTATCACATTGCATGTATAAATAGATTCAGAGTAGCAGTGGTGGTAGCAGATAGAAGTAGTGATGTTAATAGCAATAACAGTTGTGGTGACAGTTAATGAGCTAAAGCCAAAGATTATACCTTCAATTCATTGGGTGACATGTTTAGTATTTTGGAAGGTTCCAACTCTCCATTCAGTAGCCGCCGAGCTAGAAGTGCATTATTCTAAAAAATAGTAATGAAGAAAAATGAATTATAAAGACAAAGAACTTTAACTATGTAAGTGCACATCACCAGAAACCAGATCTTCTACCTTTAGATTGAAATCCAGCTGTCGTAATTTCTGGTTATACTTCTGAAAATCAGATGAAAGAGAATCATGTGCAGCCTTCTCAAGAGCAGTTACTGCCGAAACAGCAGAATCTGGCCATGGAAAAGGCTTGCCATGCTGCAAAACTAAAAAACAAAATGAGGATATCTGAATCATAGCAGGGCTAGAAAATCTAAATATTAAAAATATCAATAAAAATATAAAATATACATTTGAATTCTTTTCTTGAGCTTCATTGACATCAGAACCACCAATTCCTTCTTGCACACTGTCAGGAGAACTGCACATGTACTGAATTCTTTGGAGAAGCCTCTCCAACCATTTATCACGATGAGTTTCTCCAGTTAATGCCTTAAACTTCGATAAAATAGTGTGGTATTCCGATAGATTGCTTGGACAGCTTCCTGGAGTTTCAGCTTTTAGATGGTTGTCTAACCTGGCAGTTGCTTCCTCATCCCTTGAAACATCAAGGGGTGAAATGGTCCTTTTCCTAAGGATTCGTTTAGTCTTCAATTGATCATCCCGATCAGCAGCATTATCATCAGTCTCAATATCAGGAAGATCTCCCAAACGTGCTAACGTTTTCTGAACAAGAATATCAATTTCATGCTGCTTATTATCCTCATAGTCTTTGTCAGTAAGTTTCCAAAGTTTTCGCTCCACAGTGTCATACACTTTTTGCACAATGAAACCAGGATGCTGCTTCCGACTTGGTAGCTGCTTATGTTTAGGAACAAAGTGCACCACACACTTGTGCATAACAGATTCTGCTGGAATCTCATCACGGTGGAAACTATAAAACAGCTCTCGTGTATCACGTGATTGCCAGTTTCCACCCCCCTTTTTCTCAGCCTCTTCAGGACGATAAAACCACTGTCCAGTAACCATCATGCCACCATTCTTGGTCTGTGTGATATCCTATTAGCAGAATAAAAGTTTAATGTTATCTTAAGAAGAAAAGGAAAACTATCAAAAAAAAAAAAAAAAGGAGGAAAAAGACAACATAGTATTTTGAAAATGAAGCAACAAATTCACAGGGAAACAACCTTAATGATTGCCACATAAGGTTTCTGGTCTTGCTCTTCAGGAACTAAAAGTACAGGGTCCTCCTGCAGAACAACAATAATTAAATTTAAAGATGATATATATAAGCACAAGGAAAAATAAGCCAAGTGGTCATTTCTATCCTGAAATGTAACTCATGAGAACTTGAAAACTTGAACCCTATTAATAGAAACAGTAAAACGCTTAGCTCTTAAGCCCAGACCCAAAAGGTCAAAAGCAAACCAACCAATCAAACAAGGAGAGCAACAATCTAACTGGACCAATGCAAGAATTTAAGACAAAAAATGAATTAGAGAATGAGCAAACCCTGCAAAAAATGTCCTAGGTTCAGCCTTAGATAAGTATATATGAAGACCCTAAACTCCCACTAAGCTCCTTAATGACCAAGTACACAATGCAAATCAAAACCCTCAAAATGACAAACCCTAACCCTCCCCAAATCACAATCCCACCTCCCAAAAAAATCCCAAAAAAAAAAAAAAAAAAAAAAAAAATGCTAAAAATAAAACCAAAATCAAAAAAATGTTCATATACTCACAAGTTCATATCGATTCCCGTCAAACTCGAAGGCCTCATAGTGGTTCCTCCTTCCTCTCCCCTTCCCTGAAACCCTAACTGCCTCTCCTATTGGTTTCGCATCCTCCTGAAACTCCTCCTCCTCCTCACCCTCCTCTTCTTCCTCCCCTCTTCGCTTATCTTTCCTCTCCCTTTTGGATTGTGTCTCTTCCTCTTCTTCGTCCTCATCTTCTCTAAGCTTCATTTTCTTCCTCTTCTCTTGCTTCTTGTCCTCAGAGGAAGAGTTGGTGGGCCGCGACCTCTTGGAATGTGGTGGGACTACAAAGTCCTCATCATCACTGGTGGAGACCTGTGCAAACCTTCGTTTCCCCATTTTTGAGATTGGGCAGAGAATTTGCTAACTGTCAATAGAAAAAGAAAGAGATTACACAGAACGTTTTTAGAGTGAGAACAGAATGTGAATATAAGCATTATGCATGATGCAATAGCATGTAAAGAAATGATGCACGTACATGTGAGGAAGAATGATGCATCATACAAGGCAGGATGAGGCAAACCAAGGAATGAACGACAGAAAGGTAAAATACCCAATAGAGAATCAAGCAAAACAAACAAAGATTCTGAACTAAGAAAACCAAAAAAAAAAAGAAAAAAAACTCAAAACTCCCCAAAGTTAAATATTAGCTCAATCCTCATGAACCCATAATATGGAGAGGATAAGTTAGAGATTTTGGGTTCAATCCCTAGTAGAGTGTTGATGACTGTTTAAAATCTTAAAACTAAATAATTAGGTTGTAAAAATTAAGAACAAAGGAGTTGCTGCTCACTCAAACTATAAGGTGGAGCAAAGCAAGTCACCTCAAAGGGAGTCCACGCAAAGATTTGGGGTCAGGGGTATGGCTAGGTTAAAGAAAGGGCATACGTACTTTAAGTTGGGAATTTTTCAATTACGCAAACAAGACATAAAAACCATTTTATTAATGTTTTATAGTTTTAATTTTCTTATTATTTTTATGTTTCTTTCTCAAAATCTTTTATTCTATTTGAATTTTTATGAAATTTTTTAATTTCTATTTTATGTTTTTGTGTATTTTGGATTTTTCCCCTTTTTATGTTTTTTTCTTTTTGTTTAACTAATTAGACAATTGATATCAACAAAATTTAAGCTCATAAGTTGAGCACATTTAACTCAATAAACCTGATCGCACTAAGTAACCACAACCACATTTCATTTTAAAATCAATAATGAACAGGCAGTAAATCTCCTTAACATTCATCTTCTGATCATTTCTCTGTACCTAAACCTAAACCTCTAAACTTGTTGACTATCAACTCTAATCATCATTTCATTTTCCTTTGACTTCTTTCAGCAAAACAGTGAATCAAAGGCTCACACTGCAAAAGCTTAACATCGATTTCTTTTGCCAGGAGAAAGAAACAACCCATATAAACAAGAAAAAACATGCAATTAACATTCAATGCCCGATTCCAACCCCCATTTCATCAAAAAGAACAAAAATCAAAATCAGAAAGCGGCAGACATTAGAAAAAATCAAGCAATAACCATCAATTCTCAACAATGTAATCACTTATAAAAAATTGAAATCCATAATCAAACCTAGGTAATCCATCAGATTAATGTTCATCATCAAGAATGGCTCAAAAAACTCAACCACAAGTTGGATCTAAGAGGTATCTGGCAATTGAAAACCCACAGAATTAATGATGAGAAATCGAAATTGAAAAGGGAACCAAAGTAGATCATCAAAAAGATATACCGGTGCTTCCTTCTGAGGTGCAAATCGCAAGGGTCCAAGGATCCTCCAGCTCAATTACCCGAGATTGGAACTCCGTTCTGCTTGCAGCTTCCTTTCCTCGCTATTTTGCTGTGCTCTCCTCTCTTTTGTCCACGAATTTCTCTCCAGATCGCGATGATCATGAACTTGACTCCATTTCGATGGCCTCCCTCTCGATTTTCCTTTCTTGTCCCCTCTCTTGAAGCTAGGGATTGAAGAATGGAGGAGAGAGCCCTCTGCTTTTTCTCTGTTGATCGCCGAGGTCAGCCCCTTAGGTAGCTAATGTTTATGGGTGATTGGGTGGAATGAAGAAGATGAGGGCAGCTAGAGATGGAGATCGTTGTGCCGCTGACGAGGATGATCTCCGTGGGTGAGTGGCGGTTGATGGTGGAAACGGGTCTACGGGTTTTCGAACCGGGTCACGAGTATGGGTCTGACCGGTTGGTCCCTTAATTTAATCTTGTGAGCTTTAAAATGAGTTTAGGATTTTGTTTTTTTTTTTTGAACATGTGGAAATTTTGAAAAGAAAGGAAATTTTTTGAATTGATCGTAAGATTCAAACGCTTAATCAGCTAAACATAGGCACTAAAGTTTAGGAAGGAATTATCGTACAGAAGGTCCACTTCATGAGTTTAGGACATGTCTGAAGAAACAAAAAGATATGTATTTTATTATTTTTATTATTTTAAAGTATAAATTTTTTAAGTTTTTAAATTAAATAAATTATTAATTTTTTAAATAAAAATATTAACTTCATATTATTTTAATATTATTTTTATTTTATAATTTATTAGGTAATGATGATATGATAAATAGTAATCCTTATCAAAATTAGGTAAATTTTATATTTTTAGGTAAAAAATAATAAAATTTATATATTTAAATAAACAAATAAATTTTTATTTTTATTTGAATCTTTTCTCATTTAAATTTATAAGAACAATACTTAAATTGCACTTGAATTTCATGACCCAATAATTATATGTTTAATAGTAAGGTACACAGCCAACCTTATGGTTGGAGTTCAAATCTTTCTCTTCTATTTCTTCTTTCCACCAGTCTGATTCTCTTCTTCTCCATATTCTTCAATTGAGGCTATTTGGACTCCTTTTTTATTCTCTTCTGAATCTTCCCTTTTGAGTCCTTATAATATTTTTTAATGTTAAATTGTATAATAAGAAATGATTTTACTTTATCCTTTAATTTATTACCAAAGTAGTCAATATCATATTAGTATATATACCGATTTTACTATTAAAACGGTACATACTAGATATCAGAAATTTTCACATTCCATTTTGAATTTATTACTATAAATATACATTTTTATAAAAAAAAAAGATAGGCATTTTATAACAGATGAAATATTAACTAAATTTTAATATATTTAATTTTTAATTTAGGATATTTAAATTTTACTTGTTTATTTTAAGATATCATATAATACATTTTTTTATACTTTACCTTTATTTTAAAATGATAATTACAACATATATTAAATAAGAAGATTTATTAAAATAATTATTAATTAAAAAAATATTAAATCTTATCAATTAATTATTATATTTTTATTTTATTAGATAAAAAATTAAACCTACTAAAATTAAATAGAAGGAGTAAATAATTAAAATAAATAATAATTATGAATTTACACTAATTTCTTATAAGTATGTAGTAATTTCTTCTTTTTATATCTATTTTAGGCAAAGAACAAAGAGAAATAATTTATGCAAATATAAAGCACTAAACTATCAGTATAATAATATTTTTTTATGTTGTAGTAATTATTGTTTTAATCATTTTAGGCAGTGATAAGTTTTATTTTTTTAAAGTAATTTTTGTAAATTTGATAAATTTAAGCAATGTTATTTAAGACATATATTATAATTATTATATAAAAAATTTATTTTAATTCTATCAACTATCTAGTTAAAGTACTTTACGTAATATTGATATTAAAAATAAAATTTACTTTTGTAATTTTTTATATAAATTAATAATAAAAATATTTAATAAATACA